GGCAAAAACTTCTCCATTTAGATTCAGACTGCAAGCAGGACACAGAATGTGACGGTGCAAATAGCTGAGCAGAAAAGCACATCACATCAGTGTGTTTCAGCAGAAGCAGTTTGTGTGAGAAGGAGATGGACGAGTGGGACTCCAGCAATATGACAATGCACTCAGCTGAGAAGCAAAGTGCAGTGCCTCGGTGCATGCCCTGAAAATAAAAGGCTGCAAGGAAAAGGCAAGGGGACAGGTCAGTGAAAGCTTTCTGTCCTGGTACACTGAGCTGTGCCACTGTCCTCTATCAGTTTGAAAGCTGTGCACACAATCCCAATGTTGTGCAGCTTCGTTCTTCACCTCTTGGAAGCTGCTGTGCTCTCTGTTTCCCAAAGGCGAAGAAGCAGCTTCTTCACACACAGAGCATTGTGCCGGTCATGGAGTTCTCCAGAGCGCGGCTTCTCCCGAAAGACGCCCGGGACTGGCGCATACCTTCGGAGAGCTCTGTATCTTCATATTCTGTGTCTCTTGTCGCCTGCATCTTAGCGAAAAGCTTTTCCACTGCGTCTCACAAGGAGAAACTGTCCCAGCACTGCAGACATCCACTGATCTTGTCTGTGAACTTTGTATTTGCTGCACATTCAAGAAGCACTCCTGTTTCTTAGTTAAGCTGCAAGTTGCTTTCAGATTGCCATGCTCTCTGCCCCCTCCTGCCCGGGGCGAATAGACACAGGCACATTACAGCCTCGCAGAAGGAAAAGATCTCGAGAGATGTCACAGTGCATACGTGTAGCAAGCACAGATGCTGAAAAGGGACAAAACTGAATAACATCGCTTCACTTCAGTCCTTCATGTGAGAGGCAGCTGAGGCAGTGCCTTAATCCATCAAAGACCCCCCAAAGTGCTCCCACGAGTCATTCCTGAGGCCTTGCAGCACACGACAGCACGTGATGCAACAAATGCGGTGTCTGTTGTAAGAGACAATGGCAAACTGCCCCCCTTCCCCTGCTGGAAGGTGCCTGGATTTTCCTACCTGGCTTGAGGATATATTAACCCATCAGATTCTATGCGTTTTGGAGGGACCTTCACCACCAAGAAAAGCAGCTGGAGAGGATCAACAGAGCATCATTGGGATCCACAGAGTGGTGATATTTTCCTTATTCTGTCCCTGTTACTCTCTTTCTGTCCCCCCTACCTATTTCCTATTTTTTTTTTTCTCTCTCTCTCTCCCTCCCATATTTACTATCAAATAAAACCCATACCATTGTCACTGGCATATGGTCTCGTTTGCACCCTAATTCAGGCAGGGGTATTTCTAAAGGACCTTCGTAATCGGATCTTGACATTTTATTGGCAGGCAGGGGCATTTCTAAGAACCTTAGTAATTGGATCTTGATGGGGGGGGGGGGGGGGGGGACGGACGGACTCCAGAGAAGGGGCTTGACCTGGAGGGGGGAAATTGCATCACCACTTGTCCTCCTAATTGGTGCTTTTTATCAATTATTCTAATTTCCTAAAACCTATTAAAATGTACTCATCCCTGGGGGGGTGGGCTTTTGTGGACATCTTTCCATAACTGCCCCTAAAGGCCTTCAAATAAAGATCTGCTCTTCTATTACCTCCTTACTAAAATTATCTCAAGTTTCATTTCCAGGTTGGGAAAAAGGCAACACTGTTATGCATAATGGTGTTAGCAATCAGGAACACATAATCACAGAATGATTATATGCAGGTGCTTTTATTGAAGAGCTCTGGGTTTCAGCGGTACAGACCCAAATCTGACTCCACCATGGGTTCGGGGTGACACGTTTTTATATTCTATCATTATATAACTTACATACTAATTATTAAACTTACATTGTTCTATTGTATACATTGATTTCATCCAAGCATGGGTTTCTCATGATCCCCCTCAAACCCTTGAACATAGTTTCTCATGATTCTTTTTACAATTAAACAATAATAATATCTAATTACTAAACAATCATCACATCTAACAATTATATAATTTATCATATACTGGTTACACAGGTGCAGTTTCACATGATCTGGCAAACACAAGGCCTAACATTTCCCAGGGCCTACTAAGCCTAACTTTCTTTCTAACTCCCCTGAATATACCATGATTTTAGAAACATTTTATCCCTATACTATCAATGGGGCCCTGCTCTCCTGGAGATGGCTGAACACCTGCTTGCCCATGGGAAACAGTGAATCGATTCCTTGTTTTGCTTTGCTTGTGTATGCAGCTTTTGGTTTAACTATTAAACTATCTTTATCTCAACCCACAAGTTTTCTAGATTTTAGTCTTTGGATTGGGGAGACCAATCATACAGATGGGAGAGTGTCGCAGCATATGTCACAGTTGAGATGGCGATGATATGCAGAGTATCATCATACAATTTCAGAAAGCTTCAACCCATACAGAGTAACTCCATATCACTTCAAAAGGCTTCAAGTGTCAGCCCCTCTTGTTCTTTAGCCCAACCTTTTATACCCCTCATCATTCATGCATAGCACCTGTATGCCTTCTGTTCCCTTTTGTGATTGGTCAGTACCCCTTGGCACTCCATGTCTCATTGCTTTCAATACTGTTCACCTGCTTTTCACAGTTGTAGCCCATTAAGGATGAGGCTTGGCCACAACCCCACTCCCAATTACCACAAACTGTGTACCTACAGGGGAGTGACCAAGCAGCTACATGGTGCTTGGTTGCTGGCTGGGGTTAAGCTACAACACTCCCTCACCTGTGGAGCAGTTTAAAACCCATGAATCAGGTCTTATATTTCTACTTCCCTCATGTCCTTATTGTCAGGGTATAATTGGAATGAATTATTATGTTAGTGTATTCCATGATCCTCTGCTTTGTGCCCTGTTGGGAAGGATGAAAGTTTGACAAAGTCTCACAGATATGTATGCTTAGCAGAAAGATTTTTAAATGTAGAGTCTGATGAAGGAATAGAGATGGAGGCGAGTTTTGATATAGAAGAAAAGAATTGCTGAGCCAGTCTTACTGGCTAACCAAGGAGGCAAAGGGTATGTTAGTTAGAAGGGGTTTTTATGACTTAGAGCAAAGGATAAACCCACCTCAAACAAGAAGATGTTTTTACCAAGCAGAAAGATAGCACAGGCAAACAAGTCAGCAAAGTTGCAAGTAAAAAAAAGGTCTCAGAATTTTCCACTGCAAGAAAACTGAAAAACAACTTCTAGCTTAAACTGTAATGTACTAACTTTTAGTGATTGGAGAATAGTAACATGAATATGGTAATTATAGTAGTTATCATAGGCTATAGATAATACTTAAGGTATAGATTGGTTCTACTGTATGAAGATGCTAAGCGAAGAAGTATATAATACATTGTAACCAAAACCAAAGGGTCTCCAGGCCTGGTTGCAGCTGGAGCTGACAGCTGTAGGCACAGGCTCTGTCGCCCACATCCCTGAACTGCTGTAACCTCTTGGATGAAATAAACTGCATTTTGGAGAGCCGCCTGGAGTCCCGCATCCCTCATTTTGGCTCTTACAAGTGGCCCCAAAATGGCTATTGTATCTTTAAGACCCGGGAGCCTGGGGCTGGATGAGTGTGAGGCCAGGGGGATGAGTCTCTGCTTTCTGTGTAGGCATTTTTAAAGCCTCCCTGCACAGATTTTTCACAACTCTTTTTGGCACGGTTATTTGCTTGGCTGGCTTGCCTTTTATTTTTGGCCCAGGCAAAAAGTATTACCATTCCTTGGCTTGGAGAAGCTGCAGTAGTGATCTTTGGACTGCCTTGAGGCAAACTGAACAGTTCCTTGTCAAAGACCAGGAACATCATGCCGGCAGGAGCAGACTGGCCCTTCTCCAACCCAAGCCTCTGCGAGCTGAGCCGGAGAGAAAACACACCTAGGGACTCCATCCCAACTGTTTTACATGCCATGACTATTCCACTGAGCTCTGCCATGGGGAGGATGTCAATGCCAGACAAGCCACTGGGCTTTCATCTGCTACTGCAACTGCTCCATGAAGCTCCTGTTTTGCCTGAGAGGGAAGCTGGCGCCATCTTGTACCGCATGTTGTGAGCAGGTGTTCCTCCGACATTTTGAATCTTCATTCCAATGTGTGGGGAGGTGAGGTCTGACAGTTTATATCTAGCAGTTATTTACTCTTTTTTTTTTGCCTTCTGGTCATTCTGTTTGTTAATAAACTGCTGTAGTTTTTTTTTTTACTTTCATCTATTAGTATTCACTTCCTATTGGTGGAAAGGGATTATTGGAACCCTTTAGAGAAGATGACTCATTCCACAGTGTGCTCTTTTAAATTTTCTCCAAATGGAGACACAGGGTCAATTTCCATTAATCTCCACAAGCAAGGTGCCACATGGGATATATGGCTGAGATTTGTGTAATTTTTTCCTTTTTTGGAGGGGATCTGAATGCACTCTCATGGATCCCATGGTAGACTGTAGTCTATTTCAAAATACATTCTAATGGTGTGTGACAGCTAAAAGCTGGCCTGAAAGCCTCACAGACACAAGTAACCCTGACCTTGACTTGATCAGCCTACACCCATGGAAGAAAGGAAGTAGACATCTTTGGGGAAGAGGGTACTGAGGGGCAGAGGAACTTGGCTGCAGGGAACGGATGCCAGCCAATCTTTGGCGAGCACATATGCAGGCAGCTATTGGTCAGTGAACTGGGTGATAGCAAGTTTCTAGCCAATTGGGATCGAGTTTGCGCAATTTTTGAAAACCTTATAAATGTGAGTTCTGGACAATAAAGTTTGCTGTTGCCACATGAACCTTGTAGTGTCAAGTCGTGTCCATCTCAACAATGATAATGGTGGATATCACCAATCAGTGCTAGAACAGCCTAAACGAAACCTGTATTATGCCCAGTTAAAATTTATCTGACCTGGTCCATGACTATAGCCCTCCATTAGATTACAAACAATTTGTCCCATTCAGTGTCATTTGGAAGTAGCATTTATTGGGCTCTTATTGGAAGTTAATTTTTTTTTTTCCTTTCTTTTCTTTCTCTCAGGGAATTTTTTCCCATTTGTTGCTGTTGTGGTTTGACACTGGCCAAACACCAGGTACCCATGAAAGCCACTCACTCACCCTCCCCTGCCACAGCTGGGCAGAGGAGAGAAAAAAAATCAACAACGGCTTCATGAGTTGAGGTGAGGACTGGGAGAAAACACTAAAAGGGCAAAACAGGCTCAGCTTAGAGGTACAAAGTGAATTTATTACTAAATATCAGAGTCAGAGGAGGATAATGAGAAGTAAATAAGCCCTTAAAACCACTTTTTTTTCCCCCCAACTACTCCCTCCTTCCCACCAACAGCACAGGGAGACAGGGTATGGGGATTTGGTCAGTTCATCACCCAAGGTTTTCTTCTGTTCAGGGCAAGAAGTCCTTCCCCTGCTGCACCATGGGATCCCTCCCATGGGAGACAGTTCTCTGTGAACTTTTCCAGCATGGGTCCACTCCCACAAGCAGCAGTCCTCCCAAAACTGCTGTGGTGTGGGTCACTCTTCCACAGGGTGCAGTCCTCCAAGGACAGGCTGCTCCATCCTGGGAACAAGGGCCCTCTTTCTCCACTGGGTCTCCCACTGGATCACACCCTCCTCCAGGCATCCACCTGCTCTGGCGTGGGCACCTCCCCTACGGACTGCAGGTGGATCACTGCATCCCTCATGGATCCCCATGAGTGGCAGGGGACAGCCTGCTTCACCATGGTCTTCACCATGGCCTGCAGAGGAATCTTGCCTTTGGCACCTGGAGCACCTCCTCCCCCTCCTTCTTCACTGACCTTGGTGTCTCCATGTTGTTTTCCCTCATATGTTCTGACCTTATCCTCTTCTCTCCCACCGGCTGAGTCGCCATTACCCATATGGAGAGAGGTGGCTGAGCTCATGCCACAGCGCCCCTCGGGTTTTAGCTTTTATATTTTTCAGATTCTGTACTGCTTTAGTGTGTAGTTCTGAGTTTCATATTAAGGGATAGTAAGCTCTCTTCACAGAGTAGGTTGACAAAACAATTCCTTTTCTAGCTGGGGACCAAGAACAACCAATCCAAATCTCAGGCCCAAGAGCATAAACAACAGCGGAATGAAGAGAGAAAAACAAGAAGAATGGGACTTCATAACCTAAAGCTATAATTGGACAATTAACTCTAATATGCTAATAAACCAGAATTTATAAATGTGGGAGATCTCATGACCAGTTGTCCATTTTGTGACCATTTAGGGTTCATCTTGGGTGTAGCCCTGGCTGGGCTCTTGTACTGCCCAATGTGTGTCCATTGAGGCATTTTAATAAATACCTACTTTATTCTTTAACTCCGTCTAGTCTCTGTTCTAGGTCAACCTTCACAAGGCATCACCCCTGCATCTGTGGGGGAATCATCGCGCCTGCCCTGCTTGGCTGAGAGCTAACAGCACCAGTGCAGCTGTGACCCATAACTACACTGAAGGGGAAAGTGCTTGACAGCTGAGAGATGGCTGTTTTTGAGTGTCCTGGTATAGGGCAAATTTAGGAGAAAACCTCCAAAAGGGGCCCCCCTGAAAGCAAACCCACATGGCCCCTCCCCCCAACTGGTTCAGGAAGAGTTTCCTCGGAGACAAGTAGAAGAAAACCTGTTTATTTAACAGACAAAGCACTCCCCAGCACAAAAAATGAACAATACCGCATGACAAAACTCATTTGTCTCTCTGAAAGAATGACAAATTCAGAAAGTCTCTCCTGGGAGTGGTTGCTCTGTTATTAGTCCCTCCGGCACTGGGAAAAAGCCACTGCCCAGACTAGGCCCCGGCAGGCTACAAAGTGCAGGCTCTCGGTGTTTCCCCGGGTCCCAGTCTGGAGCAGGTTTGAACAGTTTCAAGAAAAGGGAAAGAAAAAACAGTCCAGGGAAAACTCAGACTGCTTCAGCTAGCTAAACTAACTAAAACAGCAAAAGGAGCACTCTCTTCTGCCCTGTCCGTGCCCAGACAACAGTGAAGTTCTGTATTCCAGCAGACTGTGGGGGAGAGTGCAGCTGATAATGAAACTCTGTGCTTCTTCTTCTCCCCGCCTTCAATGTCTGAGCCAGTTTTGAAGGCACAGAATATAACATCCAGCATAAACAGAACAGACGATTGGGGATACAAACATCATAATGTCACCCTAGGACATTGGGTCTCTTTTTTTTCTGTTTGTTGTTGCTGCTGTTGTTGTTTGTTTGCCTTGTTTTATATATATATATATATTCTAGTAAAGAACTGTTATTCCTTTTCCCATATCTTTGCCTGAAAGCCCCTTAATTTCAAAGTTATAATAATTTGGAGGGAAGAGGGTCATATTCTTCATTCCAAGGGAGGTTCCCACCTTCCTTGGCAGACACCTGTCTCTCAAACCAAGACAGCTTTCCCACACATGGTTATTCCCTTTAGTCTGGTGTAGTGGTTTCGGTTCACCAATTTGATATGTCCCAGCCAATGCGCCAGTTAATGAAGTGGGTCTATCGCTGGCTAAACACCAGTCCACCCACTAGAATATACTTACTCATTTCCTGCTATGAGATAGGATTAGGAGGAAGGCAAAGCAGGCTCAAAACTTGTCCTGGTTCGTGACAAATTTGGGAGAAAACCTCCAAAGGGGGCCCCTCCAGAAAGCAAACCCACACGACCTCTCCCCCCAACTGGTTCGGGAAGGATTCCTTGGAGAGTAGTGGAAAGAACCTGTTTATTTAACAGGCAAAGCACCCCCCAGCACACAAAATGAACAATACCGGATGACACCACTCTTTCACTGCTCTGAAAAAGATGACAAATTCAGAAAGTCTCTCCTGGGAGTGGCCGCTCTGTTATCAGTCCCTCCGGCGCTGGGAGTAGCTGCTGCAGGCCACAGGGTGCAAACTCTTGGTGTTTCCCAGGTCCCAGTCCGGAGCAGGTTCGAGTAGTTCCAAAAAGGGAAAGAAACAGTCCAGGGAAAAATTTGGACTGCTTACCTAAACTAACTAATGAGCAGAAGCAAAAAGCAAGAGCAAAGCAAGAACAAAGCAAAAGCAAGAGCAAGAACAAAGCAAAAAGCAAAGCAAAAAGCAAAAGCAGCACTATGTACTGCCCCGTCTGTGTGTCCCGCCAGCCGTGGGGGAGCGGCTGACAGCAAAACCAAAACAAAACATTCACTCTTGAGAGCCAGTCTTGAAGGCACAGAACATAATATCCAGCATAAACAGAACACACAAATGGGGATACAAGCATCATAACGTCACCCTAGGACAAGTGTATAAAGAAAACTAACAGTAGCTAAAAGGAAAAAAGAATTATAAGAATCAGAATAAAACCTCCAGAACATTTCCTCTCCCCAACACCCTCCTTTTCTTTCCCACTGACAATGTAAAGAGACATAACCTTAAATTTTCCATCAGTTGACCACTTTTTCAGTTCAGAGTCTTTCTTCAGTTCATTTAGGGAGAGGAGTCTTTTTTGACATTCCATGGAGACTTCTCCACAAGAAAACAGTTCTGTTGTGGTTTCAATTTCCATGAATAACAGATGCCCAGGAATCTGCATTCATGAAGCCCCTCCCATCTTTGGCAGTCTTCCCACAGCTGCTTTTATGGGTCATGTCAACTTATGGGGTACTATTTTAAGGATGAGTTGTTCAAAAGCAAATGTTCTCTTCATCTGTCTTTGAGATCATCTTCATCTCTGGGAATAGAAGTCTTCTTCTTTCCCTGGGGGCAAAGGATCTTCATCACTCTTATCTTTCTCTGTTTAAGCTTCCCATTGAATCACAGCTATTTCAACATTTGCCTGCTTCAGCACAGTTTTGAACAATCCATCCCCCCATATTTTCAATGAGTTATAGGGATATTTCAGTGTATCATAGTCTATCACCATGGCTTACAAAAGAATTTTCAGCCTAAAATTAAGGCATCTCCTCATTCGCCTTCCATCTGGGATTTGACTCCTTACTGACTTTGGTGTCTCTGTGTTGTCCTCTGCGTGTCTTCACTCTGTCCTTTTCTCTCACTCAAGAGAGGATTGATGTCTGTAGGTCTCATCTGTGCACTGAAAGAGTTAATAGCTCACCCAGGACCTGCAGATGATCACGTGATCCCTGACAGCCCAAGCTGTTTTACATGGAGGTTTCTTTAGCAGATGCGCTGAAGGCTGTGTCAGGATCGGCCATGGGGCTGGTTTCTGTGCGGGCTGCAGGGTTGCCTCCAGGTTTCTTTCAATGGTCGTGCTGGGGGGAGGGCTAGGATCTCAGCAGCCAGGCTAGGACTCAGCGGCCGACGGCCTCCCCTCCCCCTGCCCTCCAGCTGCTGGGGGCTCGGCCCGGCCGGGACGGGGCCCGGCAGGCTTCCTGGGAAGGTACCCAGCCCCATGGCATGGCCCACCCGGCCAAGACGAGGGCCAGACTGGCCTTGTTACCTGTTTCCTAGCCGGAAGGAAAAGAGAAAATTCGTGGGGTTTTTTCATTTTTGTATGTATGTTCACAGAGGGGGATTTAGCTTTCTAGTGGTTTAACAAGGTGTCAGTCTTCAAAACTAGTCACTGATTGGTGTTGTTAAGCACAGAGGAAGTTCTCGGCAGCTCCTCTCAGAAAACTCATTTCCGTGGGTGGCTTCTTCCCTCCTCCCCAAATATCAATTAATGCAAAATCAGCACACTGGTTAAGTGCCTTAACTAAAATGCTAGACAGGTTTAGATTAATCATAGCAAATTTAAATCCTTCTGCTGATGAGCATGGGAGGGAGACACCCCTTGGTTCACTAGATTCCACATAGGCATTAATACTTTTATCTTTTCCCAGGCTATGTTTGAGGATTCCTCTTCTTGTGTGTACCAATGACCTTGTGTGATAAGGACAGTTGCCTAAAACATCTTTTCCAATTACAATATAAAAAACCACAAATACAATCAAGCAAAAATTACACATTTTTTAATACAGTCTAATTCAATCTGAATACCACATTGTTTATTCTGATAATCTACAACATATATACAGAATTAATTTAAAAAAGGAATTAGAAGGATGGGATTATTGTATGAATATGGTGGAATGTCCTAGGGTGACTTTCTAATACTCATATCCCCATTCATCTGTTTAACCCAGAAATTAGTTTTACACCTTTAAAATTAGTTCTGAGAGCGAAGGGGAGAGAAAGAAGAAGCACACTATTTTCAGAAACTCACTCACTCCTCCACATTCCTGCTCCTGGACTATGTTGTCTGTGAACAGACGAACAGATGGCAGGACAGAGCTCTCCTTCACTTTTAGTAAATTTTTAACTAACTGAAGCAGAGAAATTCCCTGGACTGTGTTTTTTCTTTTTCTATGGACCTGTTAAAACCTGCTCTAGACTAAACACCCAGAAGAGCACTGGCAGCTCACACCTGTGGCCCACCGGGCCAGGCCTGGACCACAACATTTCCAGCACCGGAGGGACTGATAAGAGACTAAGTAAGCTAAACTACAACCCACAAAGCAGACTTTTGTAGTTTATCATCTCTTTTAAAGCAACAAGAGATTTTATTGTTAATTATTGTTCTTTTTTTTTTTTTTTTGTACTAGTGAATACTTTGCCTATTAAATAAACAGATTTGTTCTACTTTTCTCCAAAGAAATATTTTCCTGAACCGATTCGAGGAGGGGCCAGTTGAATCTGCTTTCTAAAAGAACCCCTTCAGAAGTTGTCTCCCAAATTTACCCTAAACCAGAACAAATACAATTTTTTTCCCCATATTGTTATCTTACTACTAAAACTAATATATATTTTAACTTTACAAACACATACATTATACATACAATATACAGCTATATATAGACAATAGTAGTAACATTTAGTAAATAGTGATATTTATACATAGTTCTCACCCAATAATCAGATCTCCCTGAGGTACATATCGTGTTGTTCTATCTTTCTGTGTTATCTACTATGTGTAACCTGGTCTTGGAGTAAAGACAATCCCACAAATGGGTTTGTTTGTACTCGAGGTGGAATCAATTTAAATTGTTTTCCTTAACAAACCTCTGATATGTATTATTGGGACTTTGTTTTTGTTTATTGTATGACTGGGCAGGGTCTGCTTGGTTGGTAGAACCTTGGGTGTTAATTAATCCAGTGGTCTTTGCTAGATGTTGCTCTCAATTTTTGAAAGATCCCCCACCCAATGCTTCCAATGTGGTTTTTAAGTCTATTGTATTTCTCCACTTTACTTGTAGTTGATGTATGGTAGGGGATATGGTACACCCACTCAATGCCATGTTCCCTAGTCCAGGTGTTGATAAGGTTGTTCTTGAAATTAATTCCATTGTTTGACTCAATCTTTTCAGGGGTACCATGCCT